ATCCCGGATTGTTTTATAGCAGGGCAGCGCGGCAGCCTTTGCCTCCTCTGATACGAAGCGGCGGCTCTAAGAAATGTGTGATAGGAGTGATAAGATAGTGGAGGTTAAGCAAGAATTAGTGATTTTTTTTTTAATTTTGAGCCCATGTGTTTGAGCTTTGCTCGGGGAAAAGGAGCGAGCTCGGGGCACAGGCTCTGCCAGGCAGAGCGGGCCTGGATAAGGCCCCGGGTCAGTGAGGCCGGATTCTCCATGCAGGGGAAGGAAGTGGGAATTTCCCATGTCCAGCAGTCCCCACTGATTCCCCTGGGAATTTCCTGTGTCCAGTAGAGCCTGCTGATGGTTACACCTCCTTATGACCAGGTAGGCGCTTGCCTGTGAATTCCAGTAAAAGGCCTGGCCGTGTTTTTGTTATTTTTGCGTGGTCATGCTGAGCCACCGCTGACTTCACCCCCGGCGTTTCCCGGGTTGAGCAAGCGGGCTGCAGCGCGGCTCGTGTCCCGAGGTGGTGTCCGCGGTGCTGCGCGCGTGGCCGGGGGCCTGAGTCACCGCCCACGGTCCCCGTGTTTCTGCTGATGGCAGCACCAACGTTGCTCAACGTTGCCGCTCCTGACCGGAGACGGCGTTTCGTAAGGGGCTGCTGCGGAGCTGCCCGAAATGTTCCCTCTGCTTCGTCCCTTTGGCCAAACCCCCGGTGTCCAGCGGGCAAGAGCGGGGGTCCCACAGAGCCACCCATCTCCCCTCCCCTTGGCTGTTTTGCGGTGGTGCCAGAAGCCGTTCCGGTGAGGTTGCCCGTTCAAGGACAAACTGGAAACGCTTCACTCCTCCGCTTTGCTCTACAGTCCTGAGCTGAGGGGACTCACCGAGGCCTGAGGAGCAGCAAAGCTGCTGCGTGGTGAGCAGGTGGAGCAGGAGAAGGGGCAAATAAGGTGGGGAGAAAGGAGCATGACCCTTCCACTGTGACAACTGTGAAAACTTTCCGGAAAAGGAACTCTGCGAAAATTTTTTTTTTTTTTTTTTTTTCTTGTCTGACAGGAAAGTTCCTGCTCTGACTGGTTTCAGGCTCAGTCACGGCTGCCCATTTGGGCACGTTTTGGGCAGTGCAGCGTGACGGAGCAGACCTGCTCGTGGCGGCGATGAAGCCAAGGGAGGGACCGTTCCTGAGGGCCGGCGGAGCGTGTTGCGTCGCGGGCCCTTGGGAACCCCAAACGAGGCCTTGAAGAGTCTGAGGGCCTCCCGGGCTGCCAGCGTGCGCTGCCACGGGGCCCAGGACACAGATCTTGGCTGGAAAACCTTCCCGCCTGCTGCCCATGAGCGGGGAGCAGTGTTCACCCATGGCCAGGCTTTAGGAGGAATCCTAATTCAGGGATCCTAATGATTTTTCCTCCTCTTTCCTGCAGAGCGACCCTCAACGCAGCTAGTGCTGAGGCCTCAAGGAGCTGACGCGCTGCTCTTGTCGAGGCACGTGCTCCTGTCACCGCGTTTCCATGTTTTCCATGGATGCGCTCACAGGACACCCCGAGAGCCGTGGCGCTGGCCTCACTCACGTCCCTAATGCTCCCTGTGAGGTGGAGGTGACAGCAGCCACGGGGAGAGGGATTCCTGGGGTAAGGACAAGGCCCGCTGCTGCCAGGGGCTTTTCAGTAATTTCATCAGGAGCGAGGTGTAGTTTCTCCAGAAAATCTGGCGCTAGTTTAAATATTAACACAACTTGCGCGTGGAGGGCCAGGGAGGAAGTAGAGAACTTGCGTTTTGACGCCCTGGAGTTAGTTCTTTCTAACTAGTCTGGTCGGGTGCTTGTCTCCAAGACATGGATTAACTCGCCTCCGAGGGCGGCTGAAAATCCCAGTGCGGCCGCACGCTTTGCTCAGCAAGTCCAATGTTCATCTTTGCTCTCCCCGTCACATTTTATTGCTTTATTTTTATTCCCCACGAATGCTTCCGTCACTGGCCGCCTTCTCCTTGCTGCCCCGGGTGGGAGCAGGTCCACCCAGAGCCCCTTTGCTTGCTCTGAGTATCGAGTATCCTGGTGCTGGAGGGCAGGACGCGGCGTGCGAGGGATTCGGAGCAGCGCGGGAGCGCGTGGGTGTGCGGAGCTGGGGCTGTGTCCGTGCTGTATGAGCAGCAGGCAAAGGCACGGGTGTTTTCGATGCCCCTTCGCAGCCCAGCAGGAACCAGGATTGTGAAAGCTCCCTGTCTGCTTCCCATTTGCCTTGCGTCACCCCAGCAAAGCCACTAAAGACCCAATCTCTTCACTTCCTCTAGGGAAAAAAAAAAAATTAAAAAAAGCCATGACACGGGTTTCGGAGAGACCACAGCAGGGGCAGCCGTCTCCAAAGACCCTCCTGCCAGGGAGGGCGTGCGCGGCGTGGCCTGGCCTTGGTTTTGTGCTGGAGCCGCTGTTTTATCACCTCCTCCAGAAGGTTCAACTTTGTTCTCTGGGACAAACTGTACTGAAACTTCTGTTTTCTTCTTTTCTTTTTCTTTTTTTTTTTTTTTTTAAAAAGATGCTTAGCATGTGCATCTCTCTCAAAATGCAAGCTGCTCATTCACGGGGATGTGAATACTTAGCAGTGTCTTGCAGGGGAATTCCTGCTAGGAAGGAGATGCTTTTGGGTGCGTTGAGGAACTTCCCTCTGGTTGTTGGCTTTAGCCATGTAGTTTTATTTTGTTTTTTCCCTCCAGCTTTTCCATATTTTAAGAAAAAGTCATTAAATAGGATGTAACAGGGAGAGAGAACGAACCCCCTACTCTGTTTTTAAAGGTTTTGGAATGTTGGGAGAAGAAAAAAGGAGGAATATGTTCCTAGAGGAGGAGGGTGACAATATAGCAGATGTTGTGGACTGTGGCAAGCGTTGAGCTGTCACCTTTGGACTAAATGTGGCTTTTGCAGCTTTGCAAATCGATGGTGTCTTGTGAAAGCTGCAGATGCCCAGTTAGCGCCCACGCTGTCACCGGCATCAACTGCAGAGCTTGGGAGACAGGAATAGCAGAGCCAGCCTCAAAATCATGTGGAACGGGACGGGTGCGGGCTAGGAAATTCACTGGATTTTGCTTCTGGCTGCACGTAGCAAATGGCCTTGCCGTGTTGCTGACATCGGTCGTCTTCGCTCTCTTGCCTCTGAGCATCTCTTTTTCTGAGGCATTTCAAAAAAAGAAAAAATGAGATTAGAAAGGTATTCTGAGCAAATTCTAGAATTGTAATTTCCTGGCACGTTTAGTTTAAGCAACCTCTGAGCAAAAATTTTCTGGAGGGGGAGAATGCAACTTAGAAAATGTTTGTCCGCCCAAACTGGGTTTAGCTTACAAAATACCTGTGGTATGGATGGTTGCATTTTTGGGGACTTTTTTTTCCCCTCTAACAGCAAATTGTTTTATTTCTTTGTATTGTTTTATTGTCTTTGAAGCAAGTTCTCTCGAGTGACTTCAAACGCCCTTTGTGCTTCTGTGTTTCTGATTGAGGATGTTTCCTGGAACTGGCGGTTCCCTGTAATCCAGCTTTTGCAGCCTGCTCCGTGTGTAAGTATTCTGTGAAACCTCCTGCCTCAAGCCTGAGTTTCCTGATGCCTCCCTGAAAGAAATGACTGGAAAAAAAGTCACAGCGTTTTGCCAGGGGGGCCAGAAGAGGAGGTTGGAGCCAGTGGGGATCTCATTTCTAGGCTATCTCACCGAACAAGCAGAGCCCAGATGTTTTTTAGTAAAAGGCCTTCAGAACTCCAGAGTTGAGATCAGTGTCAAATTTCCAGCCACGTGATCCGCCAGGGAGCCAAGTCTGGGGTGGCTTTTGTGTTTATGTAATGTGCGCGAGCTGAAATGCAACTGAAGTTTGTGGGTGGGATGGAAATTCTCCATAACAAATATTTGACTGGATGCACATTTTATCTCAGTTATGGGACTTTGAGCTTTGAAGAAGAGTTACTGTATTTTTGACCATGTAGGAAGGGACTTTGAGCTAAAAAAAAAAAAGTTTTTTTTTTTTTTTTTTTTTTTTTTTGCCCGTGCAGTGTTTGAGGCGTATTTCACTATCTCTTGCTGACTGGATTTGGCTGGAGTTCGTGGTGTTTTCTGTTTTTCAGAGCTGTGGTTTTTCTTGCCCCAACGGTCTAAACTAACATGGAAGCAAAAAAAAAAGCATTTGGAAGCAAGAGAGGAAGTTCCAGCTGGAAGCGGGGTTCGAGGGAGCTGTATGTAGTGTTTTCTAAAGCAGTGACTCGAGTAATAACTCAGGTGGAGCGGGGCTCAAACCGCCTTGGACTTTGAGATGACTTTCCTGCCCTTGCAGGATAGCTGCTCTGCGGAAGGTGAGCAGAGAGCACTCGTTTCGGAACAAATCGGGCTGTTCCTTTGCTCCAGTTCTTCCCCTTCACAGATAATCTTATCAGCAGGGGGACTTCCTCAGGTGTGTCCTTGACAGGGACTTCCTGAGCCGTTTCTGCTGGTGATAAATGAGGTGTCTGTGCATCCCAGAGCCCTCTGCCTTGTCCAGCGGCAGGGAGCCCTGCTCGCAGCAGGGGAGTTGGCGTGTCGAAGGTCTAGCTCGACGCAGGAGTCATGTGCTGCGTTTTCACTGTGTCAGCACAGAGCTGCCTTCTGTGTTTACAAGTTCAGATTTTCCTTTCTGCACGTATTGCCCAGTAGCTGTCTAAAAGGCACGTTTTCAGCCTGCAGTCAGAAAACTGCCCTGATTGGGACAGATCACGTACAAGGAGGGCCTAGGTAGAATCAGGATGAGTTGTGTTCTATTGAGCTCCGTCATGCAGTTCTTTGACTTAATTTTCTGTGTGTCTCTGCAAGCATTCCTTATGAGCTGCCCTGCGAGGAACCTGAGCAGCACTGTCCCCGAAGTGCCTGCTGCTCAGGTCTGTGCTCTGCACGCAAAGGCCGAGCGGTGAGCAAGGGAGCTGCTCCCATCGCTCCTGATGGGAGCTGGGCCATGGGAAAACAGGGATTGTCTTCAGAGTTCGGAGCTCCCGGAGGCAGAGAATACATCGGCCTTTGGCCGTGCGCAGCAGCAAGCGGCTCGAGAATTGCCGTGAGCCCAAAGGAGGGCTGTGGGTGCTGAGGGGTGAGGGATTGGGCTCATTATTTTCCCTTTTTTTTTTTTTTCCTGTATACACCGAGGTCTTGAATTTGTTGGATTTGGACAAGAAAAGCCAGGATCCCCCGCTCATTCCGAGTAGTTTAATGCTCAGGAGAGGTGAATAACTGCTAGATACCGCAGGTAGTTGGATACAGAGCGGGGCGCTGCCAAGCGCAGAGCATGGTCGTGCAGCCACAAAACGCGAACGTTGCCCCATCCCAGGCCAGCCCGAGCGTGATGGTTGATGCCTCTAGCAGGTTAAGCCTTGCAGGGCCAGACACTCCTCGTGTTGGTCACCACAATGTTGTGACACAGGGCCGTGCAGCCCAACGTGTCCCATCCTGGCCAGGTTTTGCTTTGTTTCCCTGAAGATAACGTGCCTGTTTGTGCAAGGCGGTTGTAGAAAGCAGAATGTAGGACGCTCCTTATCTCCCTGACATTTGCCCGTGGCTGGCACAGGCTGTCCAAGCCCACAGAGGAAACATTCCTTTTATTAATGGACCTCTTAGACAAGTGCTTATTAACTGTGCTCTTGCACAGCCTTTCGTGAAACAACCGAGTGAGGGTTTATGCTGGTTTGGTCGTGGTGAGATTGATAAAACCAAGCTGCAATAGCTTGCAATTATAAACTGCTGGGCAACTTTCTTCCTTTGTCAATCACAGACAAAAATTTAGGTAGGAAGTGAGTACAGACCACAGTTATAATTAAAAAGTAGTAGTTTAGTGCTTTGCAGTTTCCATATGACTTGCTGCAATACCAAAATGTGCTTTTCAGCAAACTTCCAGTGCAGAGTGAGGACTGAGTGTCAGCGGCTAGAGAGGAGCCTTCATTTCGGGGACACAACAGGAGCCTTTGGCCATCTTCTTCAGCCAAGTGTGCTGGAAGTAAGTGCAAACTTTTCAAAAATGCATGAAAACACTAATGCAGATCCGCCCAGCAGTTCCTGCCACTGTTTTTTTTCCCCTTTTACATAAGCCTCCCTTTGGGAGGGGAGCATAAAGGTTTCAGGTGAGAAGTGCTGTCAGGTTGCCAAGCCAATAGGTAGACTCCACCTGAAGCCATACATCTAACCACTTTTGACAGCTAACTGTCAGAAGCGATGGGAGAGGGTGAAGCAGAGGAGGACACGGGCTGTGTGCCTGCTTGGGGTGCTGGCAAAGGCCCCCAAAGCCGCCTTTGTGCTGACATACGTCCCACGCGGCCCTTGACACACAGACGCGTCCCGACACAGTCACCAAGGGACATCACGCACTGTCCAAAGAGCCCGTCAAAGCCTGAATAAATCTGTATAAAAAGAACTGGTTAGAAAAAAGGGGAAGGAAAAAAAAAAAAGGACATTTAATTATTGACAGCCTGGTGAGAAGCACTGCCAGTGCTTGCAAAAAAAATTATAAACAGCCAGAAAGGCCCAATGTTTGGGAACCCCGCCGTTACTGTGATTTCCCTGTGAGTGGGAGGTTTCTAGCCCTTGAGATTGCACTTGCAGTCAAGAGCATGCTCGAACCTAGGAAATGTTGGGAGAAAAAAAAAATCCAAGTAATAGAAGGCAGCGTTCAGTGAAAATAAGCGACTGCACAAAGTGAATGGTTGTGTAGTACTGAAAGGAGCAAAAATAATGACCCCTTTATCAGAGGGCTCCGCTTGTTCCTTTCAACCTTTGGTCTCTCAGTGGCCTCTTTAGTAACGAGCCTTAGGATTTAATTAGCCATGGGCTGCCATCGCCCATCTCACCCTGCCGCCAGCGCCATGTCCGAGCGTGGATGCTTGGCCTGCATCTTTCTACTCCCCCTCCCCAATTAAAAATTGATGATTGGCGGCGGCGATGATGGCAGCTGCCCCTTCGTAACCGTGAGGCGCCTGTGAGGGCGAGGTTGGCTCTAAGATTGGGGGTTTTGCGCTTTATTAAGGCGTTTTTGGGAGCGTTTTGGGGGTTGCCACAGGAG